TTACCGTATGTTTTTCGTTAGCATGTTGTAGTCTAAATTTTAGTGGACCCGCCTGCAACTCTTTGACTCTTTAGAAAGGAAATACGGCTGTTTTGTCGAAGGAAAGAATAGCGGATGGAGGCCCAAGAAAGATGTGCGTATAGCATCCATACATTGTTAGATTCATTACTATTCGTTGTCTACCAAAAGAGGGTCGATTATCAGTGTTTATCTGCATACATAGCCTCATCCATCGGGTACCATTAAGGGCCCGTTGAGCATCGGAGCAGACGGAAAGGGAGGATTATAAACTAGAAGAAGACAGGTACTCTATGCAACAGGCCAGTCATGCATACAAGCGAATCATAGGCACCGGTGCATAAAGGTCATGTTAATTCTGCTCGTGCCGACAGTTCCAGGTATCAATGGCCAGGATCGTCGTCCCTGATTTTAACCGTCAACTCATAGCAACTTGACCCACACCTAGTTCGCAGAGTTTTTGTGACTCTATTTTCCGAGCTGGAATCGCCCACTAATGACTGACAGAACTATACCCACCACCATAAACGGAACACGATGGTCGATTTTTGGATTGACCGGCTTTAAGACAGACAAATTACGCTATGTATAGTGTTAAAAGGTACAAACACCCGCCAACACAAAAGTGTGGACGCCCAATTGGCTGGAAGCCACATTCCGTCCTGTACATGCTGAACTGAACTGAAGGGTTGGAAAAATATAACGTGCTAGTTTATAAGCAAATGTAATAGGTTTTACATGATTGCTTGATATACATTGGTTTTTGCGGTAAAACAAATAACGTAAAAGCTATCTGTAGGTCACGTAGAACATGTGTTCTATATATTTTATATATAAGATTATTATTAAGAGATGTCCCGAAAATCCAGACGTTGATACACCTGCTTGTCACAACAAACAACAACCGGGCTGCGGATGGTTACTAAAATGTATATACTACATACTACAAGGTCTGGTCTGGTAAAAGAGCTCAACGCCTGAAATAAGCATAAAGCAGCAGGGCCGGATGGATTGCATCCCTCCGTGATTCAGATTCTAGCAAGTGCATTATAGTGGGACCGGTAACTAAGTTATTTAAGGAGTCCATTGGCACTTGCAGACTCCCAGATGGCTGGAAAACCGCAACCGTAGCCATCCACAAGTCAGGCCCTAGACACAAGGTTTGCAACTATAGGCCGGTAAGTTTGATCTCGGTCTTCTGCAAGTGTCTCGAGAGGATAGTCATAAAACAGATATGTTTTTACCTGACAGCGCATAGGCTTTTGATTCAAGCCCAGCATGGATTCGTTGAGAAACTATATCGTCTAACCAACCCGCTGGCATTTCTAGACGAAGTGACAAAAAGAATAGACGCAGGTCGCCAGGTGGAGGTTTTCTACCTAGATTTCAGCAACGCTTTTGACTCCGTC